GGGCTGCTGAAAACCATCAGCATAGGACCTTTCCTCCCCATCCCTGTTATGCCCCGTTTTATGCCTCTGAGGCTCATTTATGGTCACAGGGTGGGAGGAAGCTGGCCCAGTTCTTTCCATGCCATATTTCTTCAATAATCGGTTGGTGGAAGGAAGCATCTTTTCCATCTTTGAACGATTAATGCTACCTCAGATAATGTGTCCACCCAGCTGCTGCAGATGTTAATCAATGCATGGATTGTCATGTCATATACGCTTGCCATTTTACATCGAAAACCCCCAACTGGCTTACAGGAGGTTGCTACATGATGCCCAGCCTTGGATGATATAGGTTAATTGTGATCTAAAGAACCCACGGTCAACCCCACAGTTGATTTGCTGCTATTAAGCAAGAACCCAGTTTTGATCCAGGTTGGACCATGTATGTAGCCGCATTGCAACAGCAATCCCCCAGTGCAGGTTTGGGAACCCCTCGGACGATGGTCTGTTCATCATCATGTACTCTTAAAACTGTGTTATTTCACTGGGCTTGGACCGGCTTCTCTTTACATCGCCATCTCTTTGTACATTTACCACTGGCCGGTTCCTTATCATGCTTGTCTTGCTTTCCCGAGTTTTGCCTTACTTCAAATTTATGACAGGACCATCCAGCATGGCAGAGGGTGGGAGACGTGCAAAGGGGAAGGTCTCCTCCTCATTGCTCCCACCTTGCAGAAGACTTTCCTGATTTCAGTGGTCTGTGTCGAGGTGGGGCTCTGGATACTCGCGTGGCTGTTCAGACGCCATCTTGCAACGGCAGCATGGCTTCCTCAGCTGCCCAGAACCTTCCGAAAGGAGTCCTGTGGCCGGCACAGAAACAAAGGCTGATGGGAGGCAGTGAAATGAAATACATGAATGAAGGCCGCCAGCGGAACAGTGGTCTGCACATATTAAATGTGCAATTGTGGCTGTCCCGTTCATGTGCAGATGACGGGAACTGAAGTTGCCTCTCTTGGCTGGATCTTTTCCCCTCGCAGAGGACACGGAAGCGTGACGCGTGTGTGGGTGACACAGCAGGGTTCCGCTCCCCTCACCCAGGAACACGTTTTCTTGGAAACATTGCTCCACCCTGCGGAGGACGCACCACCCACGCCCCTGCTGCATTTGCAAAGGCGCTTGATGCTCTCTGTCGTCACTTGCGTCCAGGCAATCGGAAAGACCATATGCGCCTGGATCAGACTGCCCAAGCGCTCGGATCCTCTTTTCTTCGTCCTATCACCCTCACAGGCACACCTGGTAGGAAGGCAGGACAGGGCCTTTTCAGTGGCTGCCCCACGGCACTGGAATTCCCTTCCTAGGGGGTCTACAGTAACACCTTCCCTGCTTGGTTTCTCAAAGCAGATGGAAACCTTTTTGTTCCAGCAGGCATTTGAGAATGGTCTGGGCTGGCGAGTTTGTATTGAATTAGTTTTACTCATTTGAAATCTGAGCATTTGTTCAATTTTAATACTTGCACTGATGAAATGCATTGTTAACTTTTGTATATTTTTGTATGTTTTAAGTGTATGAGTTTAAATGTGAGCTGTCTTAAGTCCCAATCACTGAGAATAGGCAGGATACTACTACTAGTACTACTACTACAAGTAATAAGAAGAGCAGCAGCTTGGTGTGGTCCTCAGCCACTATACCTCAGCAGTCCTTGGGGACTGGGAACACACAGCACACTAAGCCATGGTGGTTTATTAGCCATGTGTTGTCTGTACCAATTCACAAACCACTTAACTGCACACAAGCCACATTGGCTAGGTTCAGACCACGCAACAAGGCATCCTGGTTTATAGTCACCATGGCTTATTGCATTGTTTGAACCTGGTTAATTTCTGTTTGTTCCTACATACAAACACTTGCAAAAGCCATTCTTTCCCCATAGGAAGGTTGCTTAGAACCCAGGACTGTAAGCAGTACCCATCATCCAGCCTTATCTAGGCAACAGCTGGGTGGTACTTGATTTATTGATCATTTATTTGTGATAAAATTAATCACCTGTTCAGAGATGAAAAAGGAGAGTGAGAATGAACTAACTGCATACAAGTGTGAGGCATTGGGGGGTGGGAGCATGTGTCCTACTTTACAGAGTGCAGTCCTTTGTTTGAAGGCAATCCTCACTTTTAGGGGTGGGTTACTTGTGGTTGTCCAAATGTTTTGGCCTACAACTCCCATGATCCTTCATCACTAGTGGTGCAGGGCTCACGAGAGCCGTTGCCCAACCCATCAGAAGGGCTGGAATGTTCCCATACTTGCTGTCTTTGAAGGGCCTCCTGTTGCAGTCCAGTTTCAAGAGGAAGAACCCTAGGAAGAGGAAGCGAGGGCCCGAAATTTGCCCATCCACAGGGCACACCGACTTGCTGCAGCCACAAGAGCACCGGCTCAGCCTTCCTTACGATGCGGAGCTGCATTTCTGTTTGCATGATAGTGAGGACGCATTTGCTTGTACCTGCGCTTATCCATCAGCCTGTACTGCATCACTTGTCCCTGGTGGAGGGGTGAAGCCTGTACTCATTTGTCATGATGCCTGAGCGTCCACCCTGACGGACCAGTCACAGCCGGAGGGTCAAGCCGGACAACCGCATTCAGGAAAGAGGTGGAAAAGGCTGCTGGCCAGCACCGAGGTTCACGAGCCCAACACTGGTGCAGCGGCCTTTTGAATCTGCAGTGGAGCTGAAGTCCTCTATTATTTAACAAAAAAGTAACTACAGCAACCTGGGTGGTAAAATAATGCTTTATTTCATGGATGAAGAAACACTACAATGCCACGTCTGGGCTCTTCCCTCTACAAAAGTTTACAAACAGAGCAGGGTCCCTGCCACTCCGGATCAAGTTTAGTTCAGGCTCAGCAGCCTGAAAGATAATCGAAACCTGGACATGTAGCATTCACATGGTCTATTTGGCATCTGGCCGAAGGAAGCTGCATAGCTCTGCAACTCCAGTTCATAAGAAGTATGAGGCATGGTCAATTATGAAAGTAAAAAAATTAATGCGTTCCCCACCCCCACGTCCCCGCTTGGTGTGTTTGGTTTACTGGTAAATCTCCCACAATGATCTAATCACCACCAACAGCCAACAGACTGAACCTACAACAAAATGGACACACAATGAGAAACACATTGATAGTTACTGGCATTGTGTTGCTGCCCGGGATGTGTGTTCGATCAACAGCACAATGGAAAAATGTAGAGATCTGCATTGACATTCAAGCTGTCAAAACTGATAAAAAAGAACCACACAATCGTTATAGTTTGAATGAATACCTCTAAGGGGTCTTAAGAGGCAGACGAGTGTTGCCTCCAGCATGCTCAGCACAAGACTAATATCGGACTGTGAGGGCGGGGAAGGGTTAACAAATCATAGACTTACATTCCTTTTATATACAACAAAATGAATTATACAGTTGTCATACTAGTGGTACATTTGGCCAGAGGAATTTACAGGGAGAAACACTAGCCAAAAGAAAAGAAAAGAAAGAAAGAAATCAAAGCAAGGAATTCAAAATGTTTGGGGGTAAGTTTGAAATATTTTGGTCTTTGCCCCATAGCTCTGGGGAAGGAACCAGGGAGAGGGCATGTGTTTAAGATTCCAGGGGGTGGAGGTGGGGGGAACAGGCCACTCCAAAACCTAGCTTTTGATCACCACAATAATATAGAATAGAAAGAATCAGGTTTGTCAGCACTGATTTAAAATGCACACGTTATTGTGAAAGTATCAGAAAGGTTTAAAATGATTAAAACTGAAGGAGGCTGGAATTTTGGAAGGAGAAGGAGTTGTGTGAGCACCCTAGCGGATCTCCGCCGGGGTGCTCACACAATGTGGCAGGATGATGTCCTTACGGAGTGATCCTCGGAAGGAAATCCCACTGCATCCCAAGGGTCTCACTAGGATTGCAGCTTGAAAACACTAAGCACCATCAAGGCGGGAACCTTTTGGAGAACTTCTCAAATTATCCTTAACTTTCATCCACACAGATGAGAAGGTCGCTGTTTTACATGAAAACGGGGGTTCCAAGAAAGTCTCTTTAGACTAGCCGTCTTCTCAGCTTCGTGGATTAACAAAAAAAGTACAGCTTTCTTTGTCCCCAGCCACACCCCGCGTTACAACCAATGGATTTTTAAAAGCATGAGTCAAGATATTTGATGTTTACATAGCATGGGTCAGATCCATAAAGCTACATTGCGATCAGTGCATTAAAGACATCGACAGGAGCTGTTCCTGGGAGTTTTAGTAGGAAAGATACCTAAAGCAAGAACTTTTTATTATGTAGTCCGCTTCATTTTGAGCCTCTTTTCTCCTTTCCCAGAATAGGCTGCAGACCTGAAGTAAAATGCTGAAGTAAAATGGAGAAAGAGGTAAAAACTATATACAGAAATACTTACACGGCACATGAAAGTTAATTAACGGTTAGTGTAATTTCAGCAGTGCTTTCTACAAAGGATGTAGTTCTGTAGTGATGACCAATTCTTTGAAATGCAGAGAAGACAAAGGGGCAAATAACACATGATTAATTGTGCTATAATCTTTATTCCATGATGGGTAGTTTTTATCTGAGATGATGATGTGATAACTAAGGGAATTGTAACACATGATGGATTTCATTCCTACTGTTGAATTCTTTCAATGCAAAGGGCCTTTTAGAGTCATCTTGGGAAAATCTTCTTCCAAGTCCAGTTTCCTGATTGAGCATCTTATTCCAGAAGTCACTTTGTAGGCAAGAAAGGTGATCCAATCCTTTTTATCCCTCTTGTTTGTTTTAAGCAGCAGTTCCTGCTGAGTTCCTCATGCTTAAATGTTCTTCCGTTCAGGAAGGAAGGAGTCACGATCCAGTGCAAGCGACACGTTGCTTTCCCATCTCAGTTTTGTTAAATACATGCTCGTGTAACACTCCTTTCTCCAGGGGGGAAAAACAGAGAGATTCAGTTGCATATTATTGTTAGAAACAGCCTTGTGCTTCCTAGCACAAACCCAAGGGGTTAATCCTCATCCTCATCCTCTTTCGGTGAAACTACTGGGGCTCTGTCCTGGTCCTTGAAGCATTCCATGAAGAAATTGACGAGGGCCTTGTACAAGTGCTGCTCAAGGGCAGGACTGCTGAAGTAATGGCCTTCGTCGGGGTAGATCTGCAAGAGAGGAGGCCGTTAGGCTACTTGGCAAGATGGGCTCCAGCCGGGTGCCCAGCCTGAGCCATCTTTGGAAAGCGCCAGGCTGCCCCTCCCAGAGCCACCTCACGCTGGCTGCTCTCTGGGCTGAACAGAGAGCGGCTGAAGAAACGGCCTGGCATCTACCTACCCTCCTTTGGTCCTTTGCCTCGCTGCCTTAGTCTCTGAGCTGTGTACAGAATCTGCCTGCTCGCCAAAGGTCCCTCCACTCAATCTGCGGGGAACCTGCCCCCCTGCATAGCACAGCTCGTAACATTGGAGGTCGAGGGCTGGGTGCCTGATGGGTCCACTGAGGTTCTGAGGGGAGCTCTTCCTCTTCTGCCTCCTGAGTTTACCTGCATCTCTGCACTGCTGAACCCCTAGAGCAGTGATGGCGACCCTTTTAGAGACCGAGTGCCCAAACTGCAACCCATAACCCACTTATTTATCGCAAAATGCCAACACTGCAATAAAACCTGAAAGCTGAGGTTTTAGTTTAGAAAAAACGACTCACAGCCACTCCAAGACACTCTCTCTCTCCCTCTCTCCCTCTCTCCCTCTCTCTCTCTCTCTCCCCCCCCCCCCTTGGCAAGGGACTGACCGGCCATGCAAAAGCTCGGACGAGCTGCGGCTAATGAGTGACGGCTGGTGACGTCATCGCCTGGCGCTGCTACTGCTCTCTGAGCATGTGCAAAGCCCCTGTGTGCTCCGTTACCCGATGCTCAACTGCTGGGGCGATGTCAGTGGGACTTGGCTTGCGTGCCAACAGAGAGGGCTCTCTGTGCCTGCTGGGGCAAGCAAGCCATAGGTTCACCACGACTCCCCTAACCCTACCCTGGTGGGCTCCCCAAGCCCTAATATAGAGCTAAAATACCACTGAAAAGAGGGCGATTTTGAAAAAGGCTTCCTTGAGTGGATTTTTCTGCACTGCTCATCCTTTCTGCCCATTCTCAACACATTCCAACCACCAAAATCATTCCAGGACACCTTGTTTTTCTAACCCTAACCCCACCCTGGTGCAGACCCCTAACCCTAATATAGGTGTAAAATACCATTGAAAAGAGAGTGGTTTTGAAAAGGCCTTCTTTGAGTAGCTTTTTCTGCACAGCTCATCATTTCTGCCCATTCTAAACACAATAAAGCCTGAAAACTGAAGTTTTAGTTTAGAAAAAACACCTCACAGCCAGTCCAAGCAAATATATAAGCACACTGACCAGCCATGTGAAAACTCGTATGAGTTGCAGCTAATGAGCCGTGGCTTGTGACATCATCACCTGGCGCTGCTATTCCTTTCTGAGCACGCGCATGGCCCCTCTGTGCGCTGTTATCCGATGCTTGGCTGCTGGGGTGATGCTGGGGCGACTTGGCTCATGTGCCGACAGAGAGGGCTCTGCGTGCCCAATGTGGCACATGTGCCACAGGTTCTCCACCACTGCCCTAGTGGGATTTCCATTAAATCGTAATGAACACTTTGCCACATTCCCCCTTCTCCTGTCATGCCTTTATCCAGTTTCTCCCTGTTTCCAAAGCTAAACAGGGAGACGGACACACTGCGCAGCTAATAGGAATGAAGTGGGTAATGACACCTATGCCGCTAGGGAGCTGAGGGTAGTAGAGAAGAAATGGCAGAGCAGCCATTCCTGCAGTCGCTCTTTCCACAGGCTCTATGATCTTCCATACCAAGCATGCTAACCTGGGGATCCTGCGTTTGGATGACTGGAGAAACTACAGTGACATGTGGAAACCTTGACCACTGATTCCTTCCCTAGTTTGGGGACACTAAAGGTACCATGTGGAAGCTCCCCAACTGGATTTGGATGACATGACAGACCAGACAGGGTAAGAAATCACCATGGCATTTCGTGATGTGCAAGCCCAGGCAAGTTATTTTGGGGCTTGCCATTGTCTATTTCATGGCATTTGTATTGGTTAAAATACAGTAGGTAGTATCAGACGGTATTCCTATGTAGAGCACAGCACTGTAAGGAATGAGGCTTAAGTTACTCACAACTAACTTAAGTTTCATTGATTTCAATGGGCCTACTTGAACACTGGAGACTACCCATTAGAAAAAAACCCTGAAATTTAATTTTCAAAACATTTCTCTTGTGTTTCATGAACAATATATGGTTAAATACAGAGACTCCAAGATGATAATAACTGAGTAGGTCTTGCCCAGCCCAACTCAAAAATCCTTGCCAAGTTACCACAGATCATCCAGAGGTATGTTAGTAGATCCTGATCTTCATGTTGGCCCACCCAACATTACCGAGTTAACAGCTGTATTAAGAAAATGAGTGATCAAGGAAGAGTACATTACCTGCAAGCTGTAATTAGCCTTTGCCCTAATTAGGTGTGTAATAAGGTCAGCAGTGTGCTGGAAGTGGATTTTCTCTGTAAAATCAGATTAGGATCAGTAAGTGCCAGAAAGTAATGAACTGAATGATGAAAAAAATCAAGGATTTTTAAACATGAAAAATGTGCTGAACGGCTAATAGGCTGCAATTGTGCAGGCCGGCACTTACCATCAGCAGTTGCGTGAATGATTAAAAACTTCTGGTCTTTGGTTGACATTCCTCTGTGTGCTAGTTTGGTAATCTGCAAAGGTGAAAACAGAAAGGTAAAAGCAAAGGTTAAAAAAAGGGAAGAAGGTCAACACTGCCATGTGTGACAGCTGAAAAGGACTTTATTGAGAACTCAGGAAACTCAGCCAGGGGAATTAACAAGGCGACCCTCCTGCTGTGCCCAGAGCACGACTCCAAAGGGGCTCAGAGGGCAGTCATGGGCATCAGTCTCAGCTATTCTGAGTCAAATTTTAGCTTGGGGAACGGCCTTCTTGGCAGCAGCACCATTTTCATGGAGCGCATTCTACAGTGCCGGGCAGAAGTCCTCTCCGCCCCCCCCCCCCCCGTGACATTTCCACATTTTGTTGTGTTCCAACCTGCAAATGAGATGGATTTAATCGGCATAGTCACTGATCAGTGTTACACAAATTACTCAAAGAAGGATGGGTAACTACTTCTGCAAACCTCTGCATTTTTAATACCAGGTTAAATTCATCCCTTTCCTTTGAGGGGATAATGAAAATATTTTGTGCTTTTACCAAATGTTACTGTTATTTTCACCTGATTCGTGTTTCTTTTGCCTTTGTTATGGCTTAATGTTTTGCGATTTTGCATTTTACAACAATTCCACCTTTGGAAATGACTTGCTGAACGTTATGCTGCACTGAAAGGCAAGCTCTTTGTATCGCAAACAAACAGCCAGGGTGCACCGCAGGTGCGTCTGCAAATAGATTTTTAAAACTATCTCCTGTTACCAGTGGATAGCACCCTGTTTTATCCTGTGTAGAGTAGAGCCACTGAAATTCACTTATATGGATCTGCTCTAGGTAGGATTAGCACTGGAGATCAACCTGTGGTTTTTTGCTCTCGAGAGGCAGCTTCTCCATGATTACCTCATAGGCTTTATTGTCAATCCCTTGCAAACCCAAGTATCGTTCTGAAAAGGCCGAAGCTGAAAGAGAAAGAAATTTGTTCAGCATTATTTATTTATTTAAGGTTATTATATGCCATCCAATACTAGAGTCTCTGGATGGCTTACAAAATAAAAAAAGCAAAACAACAATATTATTATTGCCATGCTGATACCAATATTTCAGGCAGGGACTTAGTTTTGCTCCATGTTTGGTCAAGCTGGACTTCTCAAAAGGAAAACTTCAATTTCCTGCTCATCCCATAATCGAAGATGAAACGCGTTACCCGCTCTAGCTTGCCTGTGCCCTCGTATCGCTGCTGGTGGCCTTTTCTGTGCTGGCGCCCTTCTCAGGGAACGCTCCACTGAGGGAAATCCACTCCTGCATTTCCCGAGGCCTTCAGCCTCGACCTAATGAGCAGATTGCATCTGCTGCTTTCGTTCCGGTGCCGTTTTGCTGCGGTTCTGCTTTGCAGCCCCCGACCCGAGCAGTCTGCCTAGCACCGTATGAAATTGGGGCGGCTGTTGAACGCAGATACTACAGAGAACAGGGCCGGACAAGTGCTCCTGGAGGGACGCTGCGATCAGGAGACAATCCACCTCAGCAAATCTGCTTAGTCCAGAACCTCGTCCACCCAGGGCCTCGAGTGGCACAACCTGGCTGGCCCTGTACTGCCCGTGGCTGAACACGCTCTGCACACACGGGCTCAGGCTGGGACTGTTTCGTTCAGGTAAATCTAGCCCACACCTCTGGGCTCTGCCCTAACCTCAGCCTGTCCAGTTAAGGAGGGGCTCCAGGCTCTTTCTGTAGCATTTGCAGGGGGAAGGAGAACACGGGGAAGGCCACGTCCATCTGCAGAGTCGATCCAGTCTAACTCTGGACCCAACCCCTTGATTATTCAGCTAGTCAGGCGAGGGGCACAAAGCCCCAGAGAACTGAAGTTTCTGCGCAGCCTGCATGACCACACCTTGCCCATGACAATCTTTGCATTCTTAAGGGCTAGAAACTTGCTTTTTAATATTGATCCCAATAGTTGTAATGATGATTCTAATAGTCATAACCAACGCTTTGATTCTCAGCCATTTCAGTGCTGGCCCAGAGTGACTAAGGAGCAAGGGGATATGGTTCCACTGTGTCCATTGGTCTGATAGGAGAATATTTACCATATAAGTTGAAGTCAGTCAAAGGGGAAAGAGCAGCGCCGCATGAGAAGACTTGGTCCTTATTCTCTTCTCCAGAAAGAAGGATGTAAGAGCTCAAGTAGGCACCATAGTCCTGAGAGGCAAGGGAAGGAAACCACACAATGAGGGCAGGAAATGCCAAAAAGCAACAACAACAAAGCAAAGCAAAACAAAACAAAAACCCACCGCTTTCTCTGGTCAGGCTAGCGTATTTATATGTCTGCCCATATTCACATAGCCTTGGATTTTTTCCTCCTTGCTCTTGTTTAAAATTGTTATTGATATCTGTATGTGTCTTTCTGTGTTGTACGTTTATATGTTTGTATGCATATGGTTTTTATAATATATTTCTAAAGTTCCGAACTTTGTAAACCACCGAGCGAGCTTTGGCTATGGGGTGGTATAGAAATGCAATAAATGAGTGAAAATAATGAGTCGAAAGGCACAGAGGCCTCCCGGACCCCACCTTCTGCACTATGCTGTGATTACTGTACTTCTTTTTAAATGATAATAATTATTTCTAGATTTGCATCTGGGGATACGTTAGCAGATAGAAATATTATGCAAATGGAGGTCTCCTTTGTCCTCTTCCTTGTGGCCAATTCATCAACCTAATGCGAAGCCAGCCAAATTACAAACCAAGGCAAACATTACTCCAGCTGGTTTCCCCACAGCTGATGGGAGCCTTGAAACTTTTATGCCAGGGGGGCAAAACAGGCCAAGAAGGTCTCTCCCTGTCCTCAGTATCACTCTTCTCTAATGCCTCTAATCTAATCTAATCTAATCTAATCTAATCTAATCTAATCTAATCTAATCTCTAACATCTAATGCCACGAATGCTCCCTTCCTCAAAGGCTGTCACAAAGAGGAAGGTCAGGATCTCTTCTTGCTGATGCCAGAGTGTAGGACATGGAATAATCAGTTCAAGTTGCAAGAACCCAGATTCAGGCTGGACATCAGGAAAAGCTTCCTCACTGTCAGAGCAATGCGGCAGTGGGACCAGCTGCCTGGAGAGGTGGGGGGCTCCCCCACACTAGAGACATTCAAAAGGAAACTGGACAGCCATCTGAGTGGGATGGTGTAACGTGGTGTCCTGCAACAGCAGGGGGTTGGACTGGATGGCCTTCATGGCCCCTTCCAACTCTACACTTCTATGAAATCCCTTCAGATGTGTGCAAGCAAATCCTAATTCGCCTCTGGACTTTGCTCTTACGGCTGTCTAGCAACATCCAGAAGGGTTTGTGTGTAGCAAACAACGGCACAGGATATTTTCCTGTTGAGTTCCCACAAGGATGCTTTCCACTGGGAGCTGAATGGCTGCTTTAGGATCCAAGCCAAGACAGGCAGGCAGGAGTCACCCAGCCAATTTCAGGCTGCAGAGCTGGGGGATGGAATATCTGGGAATGCAGAGGTGGCAGCATTGGTCTAAGAAACCACCCAAAATCCAATACAAGGCAACCTTTTTTCATTAGGCCGTCCGAAATGGCACAAAACACTGAGAGAACTGTCAGGCTCTGTGGAATTCAGTGCTGCTCTTCCTTCCGACCAGGGGCCAGATTCCATTCTGGAGAAGCTCCCCAGAGCTTCATCCACCTGTGGGCGGTCCCAAAACAAAAGCGGGGAGGGTGTGGGTACTGCTGGAGAGGGCCACGTCGTGGTTCTTCCGAGGGGCGCCCGGTTCGTTAGAGCTGCGCCAAGCCCTCATCTCCATCGGTGCCCCCCTGCTTCCTCCCTGGGGGACCAGTGGCCTTCACAGCCCTGGCAGATCTTCCAGGTCACTCCCTTCACAGACCAACAGGGAGTGTAGAAGGCTGCAGCCTTTTCACACAAGCACACGATTTTGTACACCTGTGTGTTAGCACATGCAAATATGTGTTATGGGCCTGTGCCCCACATCTTTTAAGTATGTAGCTTATGGACCCAGGCCAAGTACCAGAATCACCACCATATTTTAGCTGCAAGCACTTACTGAAGGACCCAAGGTTCAGGGCAGGCACTGCAACCTGTCACAATAGGAAAAATTGCACAGGAATCATACAACGGAAATCAGCAAATTTTGGGCAGGCTTGAATAAACGCCCCCACAATCCAGCAAACATCAAAAAAGAATGAATATGAGTTGGAAGCTGACATCCAAGAGGGAGACAGAGAGAGAATCTTCATCTTAGAATATTCTCTTCCCAAGAGTTGGCATCATTTTTTGTCAAGATAGGATTTATATGAAAACACCGATGAATGACTTGATTGAAAAATGGAGGCTCTCAGCCAGAATCAACAGGCAACACTTTCAAGGGAGAGCCACAATAAACCTTTTGGCACACCCAACTAATCGAGATGTGAATCTAAATTCCTCATTGCCAAGGCGCTCACCTTTCCAAACACAGCAACTCGAGACTTATCAATATATGTCTTTTGCAGCATTGCACTAAAATAGAAAACAAAGCCTTGATTAGCCATAAATGCTATGCATTTAAGAGAAGTACGATAGCCAGCAACTATTTCTCCTGGCCAAATTGCCATTTGAAATACAGGAAAGGGAGCAGCTACAGGGAGGTAGATTTCTGTTGCTGGCTTGAATGCATCAGGCAGCTTGTAGGGTTTTCACTATTCCTATGGGGGCACATCATCGTAAAAGTATGCAACTGCAAACAGAGCCCGATCCCAAAGGGCCACGCCATTCACCGGACAGCTTCCATTTGGTCCTTTTCTTCATAAACACCCAGTCGCCTTTTAATGTCGTGCAGCAGCTTGGTCCCTTGGAAGCCACTTCCACGCCCGTCGAATTTCATCACGATGGCCCCATGGTTGCTGACCATGACGCTTTCCCAGTTCACTTCAAACTTTTCCGTTACGCTCTGTGTGCCGGGAGTTCCATCGCTGAAACAGAAACAAAGCAAGTTTGGCCCTCCTCTGGGACCCTCCGTGAAAGATATTAGGAGGCAAAGTACCCGGAGGAGGGCCTTCTCTGTGGTGGCGCCCCGCCTATGGAATGCGCTCTCCAGAGAGGTCTGCCTGGCGCCATCGTTATTTGTTTTTTGGCGCCAGACTAAGACCTTTTTATTCCAACAATATTTTAATAACTTTTAATATTGGATTATATATGTTTTTAATCTGCAGCCAGGGTAGATCTGAAATTCACTTGTACTATGTTTTATATTATTCTTATTTAGTTATGTAAGCCATCCTGAGGCCTTCGTGACAGGACGGCATATAAATATTCTAAACAAATAAATAAATAAAGTGCACATTGGGATAGTGAGTGTGAACAGCCCTGGTGGGTTAACAAGCACACCTGGAGGGAAAGAGAGGACCATGGATCACGACTGGTTCACTCACTTTGCAAGCAGGTGGTCCCGGGTTCACTCTCTGGTATCTCCAGTCACAAGATCAGGGAGCAGGTGGTGGGAAGGGCCTCCGTTCCCGAAACCCAGGGAATGTTCTCTTAACCCATGTTTGCACGATGGCTCATTGGTGCCCAGCTTACTGTGACTTGTCAAGTCATGCAAACGCAGGAGGCAGGGGTTGTTCAAGGGTTATGTGGGCGTGAAACAACCCTCAAATAACCTTCAATCAAGCAAAGGTTTTTGAGGGCTGCCTAACCCTCAAAGAACCCCTGCCACTTGGGTTTGCATGCTGTGCCAAGTAACATCAGGCTGACCACAGCAGGCTGTTGCGTCATGTAATCTCATTAACTGAGGACGCCTTCCGATGCCAATTTACACAGAAAGACCTAGGAGTTGTAGGCCGTTTTTCTGCCTAAACATGCCAAGCTAGAATTGCATGTTGATCCATTTTTTGACTGAGCCTATCTGTACTTTTGCAGGGTTGCATCAAAATAGAATGTTAACAGCAGTGTTAAGTGATGTATCTTTGCACATTTCCTTGTCAAGCCAAGCTGACAGATTTTAATTTCTTTAGGGTAGCTGGAGCTGCAGGGTATCCAAAGAGAAAAGCAGTTGACGGCATCTACTTCCAGTTTCAAAAATGGGCATCTGTGATGGTACAAGTGTCAGAAATAGCTTCATTTTATTTGTTTCCATGTTTACCCGTTCTTTCACCCTGAAAAACACCCCAAGGGAGCAAACCAAATGAAAATACAAGCTGCTCACTACCAATTAAAAGAACTCCTTACACAACATTGTCATAAGCACACTGTAATAGCAACAGTGTGCGATATTAGGTAATTCAACACGTTCAGACAATGCAAAAACCCCAGAGCCCATCAGTGTGGCAAAGTAGGACGCTTTGTGTTCCATTCTTGGAAATGACCAGGCTGTTTACCGTGTGAGCAGCCTGGGAAAAAGAATTAGAGTGAATGGTGCCAGAAAAGGCCCTTCACGTAATGAGCGTCAGTCTAATAATCACCCAGGGTTAAGTCCTGGCTTAGTTACATGCGACTCGTGGAAGCAGGACAATACTTCCTCCTCTTCCCAGCAGCCCCATCTCCAGCCTCTGACAATGTAACAGCTGTGGGGCAAAAGGTGGATCCCTGAAGGCGAGGCACAGGCACGTTCTCTGAGCAGAGACTTTCCATCCACAGATTTTCCATCTCCAGCCCCACAGTGGAGAAAGCACCCCATCACAATCCGGAAATGCATCGGGGAAGAGGTAGGAAGGTTGCGGTAGGGTAGGGTAGGGTAAGGTAGGGTAGATAGTAAGGCATTAGCAGTGCTGCTTAGGGCAGATGGGAATTATAGACCAAAACATCTGGAGGGTCACAAGTTGCTCATCATCAAAGCTACCTGGTTGGATCCAGATTTAGTTATCCTTACAATAGATCCATTGAAAATTATGGCATGAAGGTTAAGTCCCCTTGTTTTGAATGCTCCAATTCAGGCAGGACTGTGTCTGAATCTGAGCCACGTGTATTCTTGCCACCTTTTAGGGGAGCATGAAAATGCCTTCCGAGGTGAGTTCTGCATGTTTTTTCCCTGTGCCTGTGACTTTCCTGATGTGAATTTATTCAACATACAGCCCAGTCATGTCTCCGCTTTCTGAGGCAGTCTAATCAAGTGTCATTAGCTTGATGAGTACCAATCTTCCTCAAGCACCAGTATAATGAAGCACGTTTCCTCAGAGATAATCCGGAGGTGTGTGTGTGCGCTTGTGTGTGAGGGGGCTTCACAGCAGAGCTTTTGCCCTCTGCTCCTTCCTTTTTTGCTTGCAAACGGGAAAAACAGCACCACTTGACTTTTCTCCATTCCTTTTCCTTCCTGACAGCTCCACAGGGGCTCAAAGTCATGTTCTCAGTAGCATCAGGTGAGACTAGTCAGGAAAGTTGGGGTGAGAAGAACTTTGGTGGGTTGGGGAAGCTGCAATCAACATAGGCCGTTCCAACATAGGCCAGATCCCTCTCTCACTGCTGAAGCCAGATCTGGCCTTCTGGCCATTGGAAGATCCCAGGTGCCTGGATTCCCAGTGACGGTGCTGGGAAAAAGCCACGCACTCCTCACAGACTGGGCTTCCCAGTAGAGTTGTAGGGAATTGGACGGCACACCAGTGGTGGCCACAGGGGATGCAACGCTGGTGCAAAAACTCTCATGGGGCATATTTTGCCTACCTCTGGGCCAAGCCCTCAAATCCATGCCGTTAGAGGGATCTGGAGGGCACAGAAAGGAGTGTGCTCTCAGGCTGGTGGGTGGGAATTCCACAGTACAGAAAAGCCTCCCTAACGATCCAGAAAAAAAACTTTCCCTCCGTGCCCTTTCTGGCACTCTGCTAGCAGAAATCCTTAAAATATGGAAGCAGCATTGTTTGAGACTCCTGCATCTGAAGTCTGCTACTTTAGCACCCTATTCTGCTCCACACAGTTAAGCTTTGGGGCAATCCTGCTTGTTCTTCCTCTCTGTGAGGGTTTCTTCGAAACAGTGAGCATCTTCCAGGATTCCCCTGGACTAGATCTGCCAAGAGGCCAGGGGAACCAGCTGCGCCCTGCGGCGGATTCCAGATGCTGTCAGAGTTGGTGGAAGAGAAAACAAAGGGCGGTAGACACAGGGGCACGATTAGGCAGGAGATTCTCCCCGTGAGGCCCACTGAAATGGACGGGAGCTGCACAAGAGCCGCAGAGCCCGTGTCCAGGGGACTCCTGCCTGGATTGGCTCCATGCTTGTGCGTGTTGACCTGTGCCAAAGGCCATGCCTCAGCCTCCGGGGTGTCTTGGCCTGAGCATACGCACAGATGCCCGTGGGGGCCATGCATGCAGGCTACTGGGGCCCCTCTGCTATTATCAGCTGCATGCCAGCGGGAAGCGGGGATCAGGCAGGGGTCAGGCAGGCCAACCAACTGCTTGGGTTCCCCCCAACCTCCTTCCAGGCAAAACCGCCCAATTTAGTCTGGACACCTCCAGTCGAAAGGATTGGGTAGCGGGCAATGGGGCAGGCCTCTGCTTCAGACCAGACAACCGAGATCGGCTTTCCCCAGTCCAGCCACCTCCTAGTGCATTGGACTGCAGCTCCCACCATCCCCATGCTGACCGAGTCTTATTCCACCAAGTTCTGTGTGGCTTCCGCAATCCGGCTCCATGTTTAACATCAGACATTGGCAGCCGCAACGCAAACCCGACACTTGGTTGTGCCTTAGCACACAAGTGCTCCATCTTGGCTGGCCTTCTCGCTCAGGAGTGGGCAACTTGTTGGTCCTCCAGATGTTGCTGGGATCGCACTCGCCCTCAACCTGCCAACCCAGGCAGTGCTGTGCCATGGGAGGACTTGTAGGCAAAAACATCTGGGAAGCCCCTGAAATTTAGGCTCTCCTGTCCCCTTCCTCTCTCCAGATGACCACTCCCCTTCCCCCCTAGTCTCCCTGGGGCTCCTCCTTCCATCCCAGCTCTTAAAGAAACTTACCCCCCCCCCCAACACACACACGTGTCTTTTATCCACTAGCAAAGTGCCGTTCGGGTCAGGTGTTTGGCTAGACCTAGAAAATGAGATAATCATGGCTTACTCACACAACCAGGAGCAACGGGTAGTGCGTGTTTTCCGTGAAGACTGCCGGCTTTGAAATCTGCATTGGCAATTCTAGATGAAGACAGAGAAGGGAAGAGAGGCGAGTGGAAGCACGAAAGGCTGGGCTGCCATCGCACGGAATGGTCTCGTGCTTGTTCTCCTCTTTGGTAATGCGAGGGCACTTTCAGTGGGAAAAAGCTATGTTTGGTCAAGTCGCCTGGCAAATAACACCTTAGCTGAATAACACCTTAGCTTTCAGACCTGCACTGTAATACTGGGGACGACTGAGAAATCTAAAGCAAACGCACTTCGAGACAGACGGCCGTGCACCAAACATGCAATTAGTGGCCGCTCATACACATTGTTTCCCCTCTAGGCAGGTGGATCAGCAACAGCCCCACAAAGCAATATTTTGGAGCCCCCAGGGAGGGAAAGGGGGAAGGAGAGGAGCAATATGAAATTAAAATAACCCACAGTATAAGGTTGCTTCCCCCCTTTTTCCTTTAGGGGATTTAAGACAAAGGACTCTTTCTGTGCATTTCAAACTCCAGGGGTTTGATTGCAACTTCGCCTGGCTCATAAGAGTAGCAAAGACCAGAAGATACTTAATTGGATGAATTAAATTAAAAAGAACATTTGTGGAAATGGCTAGTTGAAGGAACAGCATTTTACCAGGCTTCGTTTTCTTTTTCTTGAGTGCATGTTGGCACATGCATTTTGGCTGCAGGAGCAACTTCATGAGTTTTTAAAGCCTTAACTGCAGTGTCGATTACCGAAGGCCAGGCAATTCAATCTGGAATTAGTAGCATTTCCAGCACAGCTAATAGCCTGATCAGCCTGCAGGTTTTAGTGGTTTGCTTTGCAATCTTTTCACAAAGCTTCGCCTAGCTAATTCTTCTGTCCAAGTGCTAATGGAGCACTGATTTGTAACAGCCAGACAAGGGGTGGGCAGGAACTTTCATGTTCAATGTTAAGGCTGGCCTTGGAAATACAGCACAGTCACTGGAAACTGCCATACGATGACTGTTCATTTATATTTAGCAGCTTGGGAGTACTCCTTGATCCAGAGCGACCCCTGGAATTCCAGGTGCTTTTCTCCAGCCGAGGTTGGTCCATCAGCTGCATCCTTACACGGACAGCTAAGCCCTGGCAACAGTAACTCAGGCACTGGTAACCCCCCCTCTGGACAATTGTGATGTGCTTTACATGGGTTTGCCCTTGAAAAGGGTCTGAATGCTGCAGTTGGTTCAGAATAGATTACTAACTGGGACTGCTAGATGGGAACGTATTACTCTGGTCTTGTTCCGTTACACTGGCTACCAGTTGAAATCTGGGCCCAATTCAAGGTGCTGATGATGACCTATAAAACCGTAGGACCTGGATACCTAAAGGAAAGTCTCCCTCCACGTGAGCCTGTGCAGACCTTAAGATCATCTGTGCAGGTCCTTCTCTGAGACCCTTCCTTGAAAGAGGTGAGAAAGGCTGTTGCAAGTGGGAGGGTCTTTTCTGCTATAGTACCCTGTTATGGAACTTCCTCCCCAGAGAGGTGCTGGTGCTTTATTTGTTCTGGCACCAAACCTATTCGTTTACCCAGTTTTGAATTGTTAGGTAATATATTTTAATTACTGTATTTTAAGAGCAAGTACTTGCACTGTGGGTTTTTATTGTTTGGATGCTCTTAACTTTGCACACCGTCTTGGGTGTCTTTGGAATATAACTTCTTTTTTAAAGAAAAACTTTAAGCAAACAAATAAGTACATAAGGCCAAAGTAGCGGCGTGCACCCCAGGCTCCTGAGGGCCTCTGGCTGAGGGACCCCCGGGAGGGCTGCTCCTCTGGGGAGCCTGCCTCCTTGCCGCTGGGGCCTCTGTCTGCTCTTCCCGCTCTCCTCTGTCGCATGGCTGCTCCCCCTCATTCGCCTGAAGGGCAGAGAGCAGGGGAGGGCCAGCCTTCTCCTCCTCTTCCTCACCGCCTCTGCTGCCTGGTGAGAACTAGGAGAAGGGGACGGGCAGGGTGCCCCGTGAGGAGGAGACGGTGATGCGAAGGCCTGCTGTCAGCAGGCCCGGCTGGCCTTTGGAGCTTGGCCCGTGCCAAAAGGTGATACATCTGCTGACATTTAATGCGTCTATTCACTTCTTTCAAATAAGAATGATGGGAGAGCAACCAGGATTGTGACCCTGGTGTGCAGAAATACATTTTCTAACAAATACTTCCTCCAATGCTCTGGTTCCTTCTCCTGAAAGCTGTTAGTCATTCCAGGAGGGAAGGGCACTGGGGACATGTTGTGTTGTCAGCACCAGGGTGGGGATGAGAAAGGGTTAAACCCCCCCCCCCCCACATTATGGCTTCAGGCCCAATCACCTTCTCTGTGGTTTCCACTTGAAAGAGAAAGAAACCTGGACACTTTACAGCCAATCACAATTGGAAGACATTGCCTCCTTTGGCCCTAATACGCTGCTGGAGCTCAATCTTCCCTGTTGTACACAGACATACAATTCAAATATAAGTAGAAAATAAGATTCTGTACACTTGGGCCAACCTGCCCTAAACATTTTTGGTATATCTCATACTTTTTGCGCAATTAGAAATGACATGGAAATGAAGCAGGAGAATTAGTCGCAGTCTCCTTGAAGGTGGCACATTTTCCCTTGTTGCCTCTGACAGCTGAGCCTCCAAGTTTGCATTGCTTTTCTGTGATGGAGCTCCATTATTTGTTTCCTGGATAGATTCTGACAGAGGGGCTGTGTGGTTCAGACGGTAAATGTGGACCAGTGAGAATATTCATGCTCCTGTTTCCCAAACTGGTGGTGTTTCAAATCTGAGAGACCGCGTGAATTTGAACAAGGAGGAAGTGAATCATTTATCGATGAGATGCCAAGCAGCAAAGGATGCATGAGCAGTATCCACTCCCCTTCTTATATGGTTGCTCTGAGCCACTTTCTCCCTAAAACATAACACATAAAATAAAGTACGCAAACATAACTTACTGTAATCATGAATTTTGATTTCCATGTATTCCCTTTTGGGCATTTGGCTCTCAGCTACCGTCTTCTGCACTTTTTCATTCACTTCTAGGTCAAAGAGTTCTGAAAGAATAGGGGAAAATCCAACTTGTCATACAAGGAATGAATTTGTTATGCACAATCAACACCAACTAATTTTGGTATTAGGCAAAACTGGGAGGGAGAATCCACAAGCACAACCTTTGCACTATGACCAAGTAAATGGTCATGATAAAGATTGTTGATGAGCACAGAATGTCCTGTGTGTTCCTGAAACATAAGAACCCATTTCTTTGTAGCAATGCAGTCATTCTGGGGCCCAAATGCTGCGATTTCATTCTGCATTTTCCGAAAATCCTGCTTCCCCTCCAGGCCTCTGCACACCAGTTGCTCTGCTACAGGGTGGTGGAGGATCTTCTGGAGCAGACAAGAGATATGCACGGACAGAAAAGCAAAGGAAAGCCCCATTCTATTAACTGACTTCCACTTGTATGATGCAGAATGGAACCTAACAGTCATAGTTGGAGTAAACAAAATTGAAATCAGTGGACCTGAAGACAGGCGTTGCTGAGTTAAAGTACTTCTACGCTAAGAATGACTAAGTCTAGATACAAAGTATAAATGTCTTCTAAAAATCCAGACACAGAAAAGAAACCACACCTCCCAGTCATCTTTCATTCAAGTCATGGTGTCTGTAGTCAGGTATTTGTTTCCAGCTGGAGCATTGTAATTGAGGGCTGTGCTCTGAGTTACACAGTTCAATAGTTTTGCTCTAGATTTGCTTCTAGTGCGAGGAACAGTTCTGGCCTTCCCGCCTCTCATCGTGCACCTTGGTTTTGACCTCTCTTCAAATCAGTAGGAAGGAACATTATACCCTGGCAATCTGACAAGACTAATGAGACTGAACGGCAGCATTACGGATGCTCGAGCTGTATGAAATTACAGTTTTCTTGCTCAATGTTGGCAGCGACTGTCAGAGTTGCCTCCTCCTCCTGGCGAGCTGTTACCAGCTTGCAAAACTCTTTGTTGGTTTAGGCACAGCCTTACGGCCTCCTGCCGTCACCTGGGGCCACAACGTTCTTCAGAGGCCCAGCACCTGGTGCTCAGGTATGGATGGCCAAACCTGGGGAGCAGTGAGTGGAAACTTTTTTCCTAACAAATTAGTAAGAACCAGGAGAAGCAAGGGCTGGACAAGGCTGGGAAAAGCCAAGCACCTGCCTAGTCCAAGAGCTTCGGGAAGAAACATGAACCTGAGTAGCACTGCCATCTTTCAGCTGAAAAGCATTTGGCAGTGCTTCAATTTGCACCTCCCAGAACTGAAACACTAGTGTGAATGCAATCTGTGGCAGAAATCCATATATTTCCAAGCATGCAATGTAATTTGTGCTACACCAAGAATGAATCTGAGAAGTTTGCATTAAAAATACGTTCATTTCACAAGTGTGCACAGACATGCTTTTCTTTAATCATTTGGTGAAACAATATGGACGTATCAAAAATGCACACACATTCTTTTGCAAAAATTTAGAATGTCTTGTGAATTGGAATTGAAGCAAGCTCCAAATCAGAGAACCTTAATAAGGTCAGATTTTGATGACTGACATTCCTGCCATTCATTCGTTTTTGGTTAAGGTTCTCTGGGTGGTTTACAGCAGCACATTAAAGGTAGAATATAAAATACAGCATATTTAAAACATCATAAAAAGTTTACCATACAAAATTTAAAACCAAATTTATTTATTTATTCATTTGATTTCTATACTGCCCAACAGCTGAAGCTCTCTAAGAGGTTCACAAAATTTAAATGGATACAAAAAATTACCATAACTTATGAAACTGTTTCAGTTGTTTAATCTTTAAAAAAATCTCTGCAGTGAACTTTTAGGGAGTTTTTACTGTATGTTACAATTTTATTCTGTATTTTATGGCATTTTATGAATTGTGCACCACTCAGAGAGCTGTGGGTATCACAAAATTAGTAATAATAATGATGATAATTGCATAAATCTGTTTTCAACTGTAGTTTATTCTTCAACCACCCTGAAAACAGGGGAAATATTTCTTCCCTGCCTACGAGTTAGCACTTTCTGCATCCTGGAGTCCTGTTCTAGGCCCACGGGCTTGTCTCCAGAATACAGCCAAGTTCAATTAATGAGGGCTGGTGGGGCGGGGGAGGGGGGTTCACAGATATTTTAGCAGGTGGGTTTAATGGTTTGATGAGTATACAAACTTGTTCATGAAAAGCCTCCTCTCATCTTTATTGAAATCATAACCTCTGCAAAAGCTCCAAAGCGTCAGACTATTAAGTTTGGTTAAATGTTCGGATCCTCATTTAATTACGGAATGCACAATTAGCTTTATCAGCAGAAAGAGGCCGGCCACGCAGGGACTCCAAAAGAAACCATTCTATTTGCTCCTATAATTGCATCCTGCGAAAGGCGGGAGCTGAGTGGAAGAAAGAAGGGGAGACTGACATATCTCCCAGAGAATTCTCAATTTATTTCCCTGCCTCTGGACCACTGGGAACTCTTGTCCTGTGCAGTACAAATAGCCAGCTCTTAATTAAATGTAAGCACACTGTAATATTGGGTGGGATTTACAGTTATCTGATTACTGCAGAATGCTCCCTTAATGTGGCCCCTCATCTTATGAAATAAAAGGAATTTCGTGAAGCAAGAGACCACCACAATGGCTTCCGTTATCCAATGCAGCGAGAGATAATCAGTGAGAAACCAGTTGCACAATAATCAAATGCAAAATGAGGCAGTTCAGCAAAGCTTTGTGCTTGCTTATATCCATTTCTATCTCTCTCATATATAGGTAGATAACAGAAAATGAGAGAGAAAGAGCGAGAGAGAGAGAGACGGAGAGAATCACAGGCACTCAGACAAAATGGCTGCCAAAGTGGGCCTACCCATTCATACGGTGAGTGCCATGATGGACATCGCCAAACACAAATGCTCATTTCCCAGAATGCAAATAGATGAGGCTTAATCTGTCCATTCTTTCTAAAATTTCCCTACTCCCCAAATACTGAGATACAAAATAGCTACTTACTTTGTCTATCTGTTGTGTTGTGGACAGTCACCATTGGAACTCTTGGACCTTAAAAACAGGGAGAAAATACATTAAAAAGCAATCCACCCAGATTATATTTCAGAGCCCAATTCTGTAGCCCTTGGAACTGGCCAAAGATCATATTTTCTGGAAGGCTGATGGAAGCAGCAACTCATCCATGAGGATAATTAGCAGCTACTGAATCAAAAGGCATGTAAGACAGACAGACTTTCCCAATGGAGCCCAGACTCACGGCATCTAATTTGCTCATGTTTTAATTAGCACAAACACAATTAAAATCATTTGCTTTTTTAGATGATTCAAATATCTTATAATTTATAGCACACAAGGGATTTCCGTCTTTATATCAGTCTAGTTAATGGATGGTGTAAAAGGGAAACAAAGTTTTGAAAATGCTAGCTTGTTTCATATTAATCCTTCTCTGTGCACTTCTAACTCCCACATTCTGAACAGACAAATGAACAAACAAAACGAACAAAGCTAAACTTAAAACCTTGTTCTGGTAAATGTATTAAAACTCATCCATTAATGGCCAGAAGGAAAAAAATGAAGGTTTGTGAACATGTTCAAGGCAGTGATCCTTGTGGTCCAAGTAAGAAAGTGTACCAGTTTACTGAGCTGGCTGTAGAAATGACCTTACTATATTTCATTTAGGTATGCAGAGTTTCCTTCCTATATGTTACCCATGAACGACAAGAATAGGCTGGGAATCAGCAATGTCTCTATTCCTATTCCAGAAACAAAGTGACTTACACAGATACAGAAATCCACACTTAATACAGCAGAATGTCCCCATCAATATTGATAGAATCAGCCTAAGAATACAAATAAACTATTTTAAAACATTATTGACTGGCAGTATTTGTATACCATTCCATATATAGGTAGTTTCTGGAGTGGTAAACCAGAAAAATAAAAACAGATACAAGAATTTTAAAACAAACCTACATTAAAAACAGGTTATATTCAAACTGTTGCTGGAGCAAAGCAGTCTTCCTGGAGCAAAGGTAATTTCAGCAGGATCCAGAAGCATGTTGGTGCCCTCCTGACCTAGAGAGGTGGGGACTTGCATGAAGATGGAGCCTCCACACCGGGGCTCCTCTCTTGGGGGACCCCAGTCAGGCCAAAGGGCCATGTGGGGCCACCAGGAGAAGGCCCCGGTGGCCAGGAAGAGGGTCTCTGCATGGTGTTTCAGTACCATTGCCCATGGAATCCTACCAGGCCAATTATCCGAGCTGGGGATACTGGGTCCTGCATTGCAGAGGTTCTATTCCTACTTGGGCGGCCGGCTCCAGAGGGTGGTGCTGAAAGAGTATTTCTGGAGCCTGGATTCTTCAGCATGGGTTCCTCGGGGGTCAGTCTTTCCAACATCTGTATGAAACCACAGAGCGGGGTCTGTCAAGACGAACACGGTTTGGAACTGCAACACCTCTCCTTACCTGAGTCCACCTGGACTGCATGATATACAGCAGAGGCCTTCCTTCAAGTGCTTCTTCATGGGAAGCTTGAAGGGCAGTAATAATGCCAATGGGCAGCTTTTAAACAAATAAGAAACAAAAATGGAAAGGGCCTGCTCAGTGGTGGCTCCCTAATTCTCGGAATGGTCTCCTCAGTGAGGCCCACCTGCTACGGACACTGCCATCTTCTCAGTGCCAGGTCAAGACTGCCCTCTACTCTTAGGCACGGAACAGCGTATGAGGACACACCAGCCGCTTTAAAAGGTGAAGTGATTCCGCCTCTTGTCTAGTGGTCCAGCTTTGGACAACACAATTCCTTCTTCTACTGCCTGCGCAGCAGGACAATCTGGTGCAAGAGGCGGCAAGACCGTGCCTTTCATATTTTGTGCAGAAGAGGAAATTTCAGCAGGGGGGGAACATTTCTCATCCTTGGCGATCTGGCAAAATCCTTCTTTTATCTAGCAATTAAAAGTATTGAAGTGCGACCCCCTCTGCATTTGGCCACTGTTTTAGATACCTTCACTCCTGCAACTGCAGAGGTAAACTTTTATTTGTTTATGCAAAAAAAAAAAAAAAAAAATCCTGCTGTTCTTCTCCAAAAAGAAGTGGAACAAAGGGATTTTCAAAAGACAAAAAAAATAATGTGTGAGTGGAAATATCTTTGGTGCTCATGCCTGAAGTGCCATCCTTAATGTTTCATTAAAAATGGCACAGCGGTGTAAGTTTTGGCAAGCCCAGCTCTGCAAATATTTGCAGCACTGCAGCACAGTAAGTTGCAAAATCCCTTCTTCTTCACGGTTGCTGGAGACAAGAATGATGCTGGCAAAAGGTGGGACGTGAGAGGTGGTCCTCCATGTGCCTGATTCTATGTCGCAATGCATCAGAACTTGTGGCTGGCCGTGCACCCCGCAGAGATGGAGACTTTGAAAACTGGGCTGTGCAAGAAGACTCCCCGCAAAGGAAGTTCATCAGACTCCATATCCCATCACCGCCTTTTATTGGGGTTCTGAAATCAGGCCACCTTCCCGCCGAGTTACCAATTTCAGCGGTCCCGTGGGGACTGAGATCTTCCTCTTGCTCCGCTGCTGTGGTGGAAGGGCACTGGGAAAATTAATTGCAGGGGTAGTTTGAAAATACCGTGGCTAAGCTGGGGTGGCCTGTGCAATTTCCTGACCATGCCTGGGCCAGCGGAAGCTCTAAATCTGCGCTTCCTCCTGGAGATGCTTGGCAAGACTGAAGGCCTCATGGGACGACAGCCAGGCTGCTGCTGTTGGCCTGGCGGGTGATAAACTGCCTGCCGTCTGACAGGTTGTGGCTACCAAGAGGACATTATATCAGTGGCCCAGGTGGGTTGTGCTCCCAGGCAGAATGCCGAGTGTTGGCTTCGTCTTATACAGACCTGGACAGCACGGAAGGGACAAGCTCCTGCTCTGCCATCCACCGTGATTCAGGAGATTAACAGCTAGCTATTTTTGAAATGGAACATCGCGTAGAGGCTTAATTGTTGCTTTAGAGTTATACAGCATTTTTGCTCATTACAGCCTTCCTTCCTGTGACTAGCTTAAAAAAGTGACTAGTCCTCAGGATTACAAAAGGGTGGGGGGCAAAATGTTTCATGTGACTACTGGTGCTGCAAGAGGCTTTCCACTGGTCAAGTACAAACGGGCAAGGTTCTGAGGCACATATCAAAAGGATGGGGAAAACTGAATAAGCCGCATTTTAAAAAAATACACCTGCAAGCACTGCCAGTCATTTCGACCATTTATGGCAAGTGCACAACCTTTTAATCCTCCAGATGTCGTTGGATAACAGATCCCATAATCCATTGACCATGCTAGCTGGTATTGAAATGAGCTGGGAGACCAGCATCTGGAAGATTAAACTCTCTAGTCTGCAGCATAGTCATAAAACATGAATTTCCCCCGACGCATAAAAATACACTGACCAAGATGAAACATAAAGTGTAGAATATGGAGAAGCAGAAGTCCTTCATTTCTTTTTCTTTTACACAAACAACAACACTGTCAACAGACAGGGAACTGCTGGCATGGTGGATCACATTCTCTCTCGCACAGAGCATGCCAGCAATCTGCCGGAACAAGGCTTGTATGTCTGGAACAATCCTACTGGTATAACTCTGGTATAAATCTCCAGTATTCCCATGGAAGAGTTGCAGGCTTCTGCTGGAGCCGCTCTCCTCTCCAGCTCCCCCTCCCCTCTCTTTCCCTCCCTGCAACTCACCTTCCCTCTCCCCCCACCTTGCTCCGGAGAGCAGCCCTGCTGACGTGATGGTGCCATTTTTCAGCTCCGACAAGCCCCTCTATATTTATAGCCAGCAATACGGAAGGAAAACGACCGGAGCGCTCCATCGAAGCAGTGCAGCAATGCTTCCTTCCCTCCCTCCCTCCCTGTCAGGGGGCAACTCTCCTCATTAGGAAGGCAAGCCTGCATTCTGCCCCCTCTAAATGGTCTGGGAATGAAACATACGCTGTGGACTACGGAGAGGCGAAACACCCGAGCAACGGGCAGAGATCGGCTGTCAGGGATGATCGTAAAAGAGGCCAGGCTGCTTTATGTCGAGAGCACCTGGCGGAATTTGGGGCAACGTGCCATGAAGGTTGCGCTCTTGGGCAAGCCAGGGCCTTGAAAAGTGCTGAAAGGTACCCCTGCTTCCATTTGAAAGCCCTCTTCTCGTCACACGCCACCCCATCCCCTCACATTGCATGAAGCTCCATCACATGCTATGAGCATGCCCTGAATCTAGAAAAGGCCCTCACTCTCATGCCCAGCTGCCACGGCTCTCATGGGGATGGGACCATGGGCCATGCTGACTAAGGCTGATGAGCCCTGTTTGAGGCTACTAACATGGCCTGCCCCGCACCCCCGGTTGCACTCCAAATGTGTTGGGTTTCTCCAGCACATTTCCAGGAGTACTCCAGGAGAAAGGAAGGACGGACGGACGGATGGACGGACAGACAAAATGAACGAACCCAGGAAGAGGATGTAGATTTGGAGTTGTATGAAGCAGATCGCCAAGCCTCAGTAAGGACTCCAACAAGGGCATTTGAACTAACCCAGGTTGCTTTGGAGAACAATCCTGAAAGTGAGAAAAAGCCTTACAGTTCCCACCTTTCCCAAGCTGACTGGGAATTGTAGGTCTTTTTTATTTTTAATGTTCTTTCTTCAGTTTTATTGTTTTAAATGGCTGTACTCCACCTTGGTGCCTTTTTAGTCAATAAGGTAGCATATATCAAATCAAAATGAAACAACAGATTAGGGTCATGAAATCACAGTTTTGACCCAATTTTGCTAGTGATCTCCACAAAGGAGCTCCATTTAAAAACAGTGATGCTCTTTTAAATGCTCAAGTGTTAAATGAATCACTCTTAATTGATCTGTACACACAGGCACCTGAGCTAATTTTTGCTTTTCCAAGGGGCCAAGTGTTTCTGGTGGCATTTCTAAAGCTGCTGCGATTGCTTTCTCCTTGTAAATTCCTACAGAAATTACAGAACCAGCCAATCGGTATTCAGTAGCATCTAGAAAAAACAAGCTATCGTGGTGAAAGGA